TTCTCGCCTTCCCGATTCTCGATTTGACATCCTCGTCCGCTCCTCCTGTAGTTGAGACAATGCTTGCTAGATAAGTGAATGAAGTAACCTCTTTCAAATCCCTCCCGTTGATGGTGATTGACGTTGGATGTTGTTGGTTTGTTGGTTGGTTATTTTCATAACCTCCGTCTTGTCTATGTTTACCTGGAGTCCTGTCTTTGCTGCTTCTTCGACCAGTTTGTCGGTTTTCGCTTGTAAGTCTTCGATTGTGTGTGACATCAAACATAAATCATCCGCGAAATCCAGGTCTTCTAGGTTCTTCACGTCGTCGGTCCAGGATATTCCTGTCTTCTCGTTTCCCACTCACTGTCTGACGCATAATCCAGTCAGTCCACCACAATTAGGAATATCATTGGTGATAATAAGCACCCTTGTCTGACTCCTGTGTTTACTCCAAACGCCTCGCTGAGTTTTCCGTTGTGGATCACTTGACATGTTCCGTTGTCGTACAGCTGTTGAATAAGGTTGATGAATATTTGGGGTACGCCATAGTACTCGAGTAATTTCCAAATTACTTCACGATCAACGCTGTCGAAGGCCTTCTCAAAGTCTATAAAGTTGAGGTAGAGGTTTGATTGCCATTCCATGCTTTGTTCTGTGATGATGATGCGTAGAGTTGCAATTTGGTCAGTACATGATTTGCCTTTCCTGAATCCAGCTTGTTCTGGTCGGAGTTCTGTCTCCAGTGCGTCCTTTAATCTCTCCAGGATGATGCGACTCAGGATTTTACTTGGCGTCGACAGGAGCATGATTCCTCGCCAGTTCTTGCAGAGTCCTAAGTCGCCCTTCTTTGGTAGTTTCACGAGGTAACCTTTCCTCCAGTCAGTAGGCACCTTTCCCTCCTTCCAGACCTTTTGCAATAATGGAGTCAGCATGTCTGCTGTAGTCTCTGGGTCTGCTTTCAGTGCTTCAGGGGGTATTCCATCTGGTCCGGCTGCTTTTCCAGCTTTCAGAAGCTTGATTGCATTCAAGACTTCAGCTCTCGTTGGAGGATTGGTGTCAACTTGCAGTTGTGTGCGCGCTGTTGTTGGTATTTCTGGACGGGTTGCAGGTGATGGTCGGTTCAAGAGTCCTTTGAAGTGATCCGCCCATTGTTTAATCTGTTTTTCTTCCTTGGTAATTGGGTTCCCTTGGCTGTCTTTTATAGGTTTCGCTTGTGTTGGTCTCTTCCCGGATAGAGATTTGGTTATCTGATATAGTGTCCTCAGGTCCCTTTTGCCTGCTGCCTTCTCAGCTTCAGTGGCGAGGTTGTCGTAGAATCGTCTTTTGTCCTTCCTAGCACTCTTCTTCACTTCTTTGTCCAGTGCTTTGTAAGTTGAGCTCAGCGTCTCCTTCTCCTGTCCGTCCTTGCATTGAATCATTTTCTCTTTCACCATTCTCCTCTCTTCTATTAATTTCCAAGTGTCCGTTGAGAGCCATTCCTTGTCTTGTCTCTTCTTTCTTCCTAGAACCGTTGAACACGTTTCGTTGAGAATCGCCTTCAGAGACTTCCAATGTTCTTCCACGCATGATTCTTCAGTGATGTCGCGTAGTGTTTCCTGCTTTGCTCTGACAGTTGCAGTGAAGGTGTCTTTTGTGGTTGTGTCCTTCAGTAATTGAGTGTTGAACTTGCATTGTGGCCTATCCCCAGCTATCCTCGAGGCTTTTAGTTTCACCCTTGTACTAGATAGTGGTCTGAACCCACATCTGCTCCTCTCCTTGACCTTGTGTCCAGTAGGCTCCGTCTCCACTTTCTTGAAATTGAGATGAAGTCTATTTGGTTCTTGGTGTTTCCATCTGGTGAAATCCATGTCGTCTTGTGTATATCCTTGTGTTTGAACACACTACCACCAATCACCAAATCATTGAAGGCGCAGAAGTCTGAGAAGAGTTCACCATTGTCGTTCATTTCGCCGAGGGCCTCACGACCCATGGTGAGTTCTCTTCCTGTGTTGTCTCGTCCCAGCTTCGCATTCATGTCGCCCATCAGGATTTTGATATCGCCATTTGGGACGTTGTCCATTATTGCTTGTAGTTGTCTGTAGAACGCCTCCTTCTTCTCTTGTTCTGAGACGTTTGTAGGCGCATAGCATTGAATGACTGTAACTTTCCTTCCTTTTGAGTTGAACCTGGCTGTCATTATCCTGGAGGAGATTGGTTCCCACTGCATGAGAGCTTTGGTTGCTGTTGGTGACATCATGATGGCCACTCCCTCGGTGTGCTCGTGGTTGTCCTCTGGGTGGCCGGAATAGATTACTGTCTCTCCAGTAGGTAGTTGGCACCTTCCAGTTCCGTTCCATCTGCTCTCGCAGATTCCCAACACTTCTATTCTGTACCTTCTCATTTCAGCGGCTATCTGGGCAGCCTTTCCAGTTTCGTACATTGTACGAACATTCCAGGTACCCATCCTTACTTTTGCTTTCATCGAAAGAAGGCACATCGGCTGACTGGCTTCCCGAAGGCTTTCACCAGCCTGCGTCATTTCACTTCCCCGATTCCAGCGAAAAGTAAGGCTATTGCTTATGTTTTTAGAATTTTTAATATATTTATTCGTTGAAGTTTCTGTAGCGATTTGGTTGTTTTACGGGGGTGGAGTTGCTAGCACCACGCCCCAACCCTCCCTCTTTATCAGGGCTTGGGACCAGCTAGAAAACTAGCAAGCTGGAATATTTATTGTCGTTACAATAATGATAGCCAGTTATGCAGCGGATACATTTTTTTATACGTAGAATACCAGATTAGTAGTTATAGGGTGTCAAAGTAAATAGTCGTATTTATGTGTGTGACAAAAGTTCTCTGGGCTGAAATCGATTACAAAATATTTTTTATAGTGTGGTTTGTAAGGATTAGATTTGTTTATACCAGTTTAACCACGGATTATTGATATCAGTTAGAGAACCATTGAAAACCAATGCGGATAGCTGTTCCATTAGCCTAGCTTGGGAATCATCGTCAGTTCGCACCCACTGGGAGATAATGGTGGAGATTCGTTTTCATAATAGATTCGTAAAATATGGGGTAGGAAAAATCGACAAGTCAGTTCAAGGTTATAAAAGGCGTCAGGTGAGTGAGTGAGTGGAGTGGCTGGTACAAGAGGAGGTAGATAGCAAGACTCCCATGAGAGGTTCGTAATGAAGTTACGAATGTGTGAAATGAAACAGGTGGAGGTATATGTTGAGAAAAGAGATGATATCACTAATAATAAGTCTGGATAGTATTAATGGAAAATTCGATAGTATTGAGAGAATGTTTGAACGAAGGGCATAGATTACGATGAATAATAGTAATAATAAGCAAAGAAAGAAAAAACCAAGAGGGTCAAAGAGAAGAAGCACTCTTGGTGAGAAGAAGAATCTTCAATCCAAGTTTGGTAACGGTAGGAACAGCGTCTGGACGTGCATCCCAATTTACAATATTTTGTAATCAATTTCAGTCGAGAGCATACAAATACTACTATTTATTTTGACACGCCATAACTACTAATCTGTCATTCTACGTATAAGAAAATGTATCCACTGCATAACAGCCATTTTGCTATCGATTGCTTTGATTGCTTTTAATTCTTGTATTCATTTAGAACTCTTACGTAATTTCGTATTCTCTAATTTGTTCCTACGTATATCCTGAGTACAATTCAATCATCAAACTATTCATATTACTACATAACTTCTTTTTAACAACTGTTTGTGACAACTCATCACCTTTGTTACTACCCTAATTTCATTTCTTGACTGAATTTTGTATTACGTAACTTCAATTACCAATCTTCACCTGTTTAGTTAAAATAACCATAACCAATTGTATTTTTGTTTGGCAAACTTGATGTACACATACATACAAAATAACCCATATGTATTTACGATTGTGCAGCTAAGAAAATGAGTTCACCGAAAAGAGACTCTTCGCTGAACTACGTGTTTTGTTTTCATTAATGCCTGGATGGTCAGTATCCATGATTACTTGAACTAGACAACGTTACACAAATGATGTCAAAGTCATCCAGGATCAGAAAAATAAGACAGATCTACATTACACTCTGAAATCAGTCTGAAAATCTGCTAAACGACTACATAAGGTAGAAGATTCCGATCTTTTACACGAATCTCAGGTTAGTACTCTAATATATGATCCGGAGACCTAGCATGTGGGTCACGAAAAAGATTTCCGGCAGGCTACTCCAAACTTTTATTCACGCCTGCCAACGCTACCTCTACACTGAAGATTAGATGGCCAAACGTTACTTTTGTAATAACTGAAGACAAGGGCCAGGTAACAGATCGTTTATTGAGAAAATCAACAGATATTTATAGATTTTTATGTACATTATTATTAGCGTTACTGTTAGCAGAGAAGCAGCAACGTCTTCTGATTGATTGTTTTCCTGCTGAAGGTTATTCTATCATCTCTTTGTTGCCGTTCCTTAGACAGTCCAATGATATATATCTTCGAATCGTATCCGCCCACGCTAAGTCTGTTGTGATTGGTTGTTGAGTTCCTTAATGTTAAGCTTTCTCCTGGTTTTTTCTCATGACCCCGGTACGGGACGTAAACGGCGACGTGAATTGCTGTCTGCCGATTTTGGCTAGCAGACAGCTCTCACTACCAATATCACACTCCAGACCCTCAAGTGGAACCTGAATTAGAAATGGCAGGCTGGGCGTCACTTCGAGCGTGGAATGGAGGAGATCCTATGAGAAGAGGAGATGGAAGCTTAGTGGCAGAGGAGAGATTGGAATGCAGATACACTTCTCATGCCCTATATTCCACTCAGGATCCACGGGAATAATAATATGTTATGAATTGATGTTTTCGCATCCATCTTTTCGATTTCATAAAATCTTAGAGGTAATGAATAAATGAACAGTAGTGCCTATGGATTTGGTTTCTGTTCACTGCAGTTCACTTTACTAACATTTATTGATTGAATCATACATAATCTATAAATTCTTTCTTATTTCTTCTTAATATTTTAATTTCTTCAGGATTTATCCAAGAATGCATTGACCAGTTTGCCGTCGAAGCTACCACCACAATTACGTCAATTAAGTGTAGATCATAATCGTTTAAAGAAGGTGACAGATGGTTTAATTGAAAATATGAAGTGTAAGTTATCTAATCTTGTAACAAGGCCTTTTTGCTTTCTCAAGGAGATTTTATAAGAATTAATTTAAGGTGTGTGTTACTGTACAGCGGCAGTTCGCTCTGTCCTCCTTTATGGCTGGTTGTCAGAGAGACATGGCCATTGAAGGTGGAAGACATGAAAAGGCTCGCTAGCTCTCTTTGATCGTAGGTGTCTGCGTTCTATCTCCCGTGTTGAGTGGTGGTATAATAGGGTGAACAAAATTGAGGTTAGGCATTGGTCAACTGTTAGATGAGTTGGGGTGGGGGGGGGGAGAATCAGTCGATGACGAGGTTGTCAAAGTATATCGATTGAGAGAGATGGTTAAGACATGTGTTACGTATGCCTAGCCACCGTCTTTCTCAACAATGGACAATTTAAGTTGTTTAGAAGAGTGAAAACAACCCCCGCACCCCAACTTTTGGTCTATGACTAAGGACTATTAATCATATGGCCTAGAATCAAAATTTTATAGCTAGAAGTTATGCGTATAATTGAAATATTGTATTGATTTGATTGAAATGAAATATTTTGATGTATGTTAATTGTGCTGATTAACAATATTTTCGGCGATGTTAACAGCTGTTCACATAATAATTGTATTACCCCCACAATATGTCATTGAGGGCAAATATCTGATCATATATATGTATAATGATTATTACTATTATGTCCTTTAATTCCTAGAAGAACATAGGGCTTCAGCCAAACGTCTCCATTGCGTTCGGTTTTCTGCCAACTTTTTCACCCCGTTCCAAGTCTGCCCACACGCTTCCACCTCCTCCTAACATGGCCTCCACCATGTCACCCTACCCTCGCAATGACAACCAACTCACCGCTTCCCATTCGGGTTCCACTCGAACGATGGCTTGTCTAGTGATGCTACTCACTTGATGGTTTCCTCAGAGTATGGCCAATCCACATACCTCCATTTCTTCCTGCTTTTTTGTTTCACAATCGGTTCCTGCTGGGTTGGTTCGCTCACTACCAGAGATCCCTGTTTCTGATCTTTTCTGGCCAGCCATCTGATCTTGAGTAGTATTGAACGAAGACAACTGTTAATGGAGGTCTGTAGTTTGTTTGAGATGCTCTTTATGACGCGCTGGCCAAGTCTCTGATCCGCATAGTGAGTAGCACTGACTGACTTCACATTGGAGTTGAAAATCCGGATCTTATTTTTATTTTCATGCTGAGTGCTGTTGACCTCCACACAGACTCAAGAGTAATGAAAGCTTGTCTTGCTTTTCCGATCTTCGCGGCTTTGATATCCTCGTCAGTTCCGTCCGCCTGTAGTTGAAACGATGCTTCCCAGGTAAGTAGGTAGGTAGGTAAAGGAGGTTGTTTCTCCCAGGTTCTTCCCATTTACACTGGCTGATTGTTGTCTGTTGATGTTGTTGCTGTGACTGTTGGCCAGGAATCTTCATCAACTACCTCTGTCTCCTCTATCTTCATCTGAAGTCCTATCTTTGATCCTTCTTCTGCCAGCTTGTTGCTTTTCATCACTTGCATATCTTCCATTTTGTGGAAAATCAGACAAATATATATATCATCGGCGAAGTCCAGATCCTCCAAGTTCTCTTTTTGTGTGAGTCCATTTTATGCCTGTTTCCTCATTGGCCGTTGTCTGTCTCATTATCCAATCTACTGCAATCAGGAAGATCATTGGCGATAGTAGACAGCCAGCTGGCCTCACTACCGTCCTCACTTCTTAGGTTTCCGTAAGTTTCCCGTTGTAGATTACTTGGCATGCAGCATTGTCGTACAACTGTTGGATGAAATGTATAATTGTCGATGGGACCCCGTAGTAGCGAAGTAGTTTCCAAATCACCTCTCGATCGACGCTGTGCTTTCGAAGGCCTTTTTAAAGTCGATGAAGTTGAGATAGAGAGGTGACTGCCATTCCAAGTTTTGTTCAATGCGCATCAGTTCGAGAGCGAACAATTGTGATTTCAATAGATGCTTCTTCTGAGTCCATTTTCAATGCTTCTGCTAGGATTCCATCTGGTCCTGCTGTTTTTCCAGCTTTTAGCATCTTGATTTCATTCAGGACTTCTGATTTCGTCGGGGGGCGGGGTCGATGTTCACTGGTAGTTCTGCTTCCGTTGTTGGTATTGTCGGGCACCTTGTAGGTGGCGGACGATTTAGAAGTCTTTTGAAGTGTTCAGCCCAGTGTTTCCTTTGGTCCACTTATATGGTGGTTGACTTTCCATTGTCATCCTTTACTGGTTTAATCTGAATACTCTCTCTCCGTCATCATGCCCGTGGTCTGAAGTTTGATTTCCTGCCGGTAAATTCCTAAATGTCGCTTAGCCGATAGTAAGCTCAGTAAGGAAGACAGGTTGGGTGGTGGTGAGGCTAGCAACCGCAGCTCGTCAAAAAACAAACTCCATTGCCACTGAGACTTCAAAGCTCAAGCTTGAAGTCCCGAGTCCCACACTCCAGATGCGCAAAGTAACGAAATAGCACTAAGTTCAATACTCATATCATCCTATGAGAGAGTCTAGCCTACACAAAGAGAGTGAGAAAAGTAAAAGACGCCATAAGTCAGTGATAAATACAAAGTGTGTAGTTGTTTCAAGGTTGTGAACAAAATCACTCACTGTCTTACAATAATAAAATCCAAAGCTTTGATTAGTCACTAAGCCGTAACCAATGCTATGCATAGATCGAATTCCATCACATTAAGTTTGCGATATGGTCACCATTGCGGTGCACACTGAACCGTCGTCCGATAATTGGAGGCAATCGGCAGGAAGCCTTGACAAACCTACCTTTCTTGTTTGTTGGCATTTATCAGTCAGCCAGGCGTATCTGTCATCTTAAAGGAAGTCGTCATACCCCCTCTGAGATTCGAATCTTCTGGTCATCCAGTACTAAAGCGAGAGAGACTTTACCACTGAGCTGTTCGGGTTAGCTAAGATGGACTAGTTGTTCTACTGTTGTTTCTTTCATTTCTTGTGTACCAAATGGGACATAGGGCTTCCAGCTCTGAAGTTCCGTTAGCAGTGTTGTTGTTTCCGGCCTAATGCACAGTGTTCCTTCAGTTCCAGGCGTAGTTCCGGTTAACCAATTGGCTGAGGCATAAGAGTACATTGTCCTGGACATCTCCCTCCCACCTCTTAGCTGACTAGCGCTCTACCACTGAATCAGAATATTCGCCAAAGTAAAACACCGGGGTTATATAGAATATAAATCATGACAGATTAATTTATAAACCATAATTCTTAAACTTTGTGCTGGTTTCAGTGCATTATGAACAAGGTAAAACCTGAATTACTATAAAAACTTCATGCAATTCTTCCCATTAATAAACTTGAACAAAGCAAGAATGACAATTGTACCAGGATGATAATATGAGCTCATCTTTTATTATTATTATTATTATTTCGAGGATTCTTCTCAACTGGTTACAACCTGAACGATAAAAAATATGAGAATTACATTAGAGATTTGAACATACTTTTCCACGATCACAAGGAGTAATTGGTAGGAAGTAAAAGTAACCTTGTGTGTCGGTGGCATAGCGGTTAGGACGCTCGCCGACCATGCACATATTCCGCGGTTCGTCCCGCGGCCGACGCACCCCTTTACCTCACTAAGCCAGAAATGATGCTGGTAAAGAGGAAAGGTTGGCCATGAGGCTAGCAACCCCATCCTGTAAAATAAACGCTGCTACAGAAACTTCAAGCCACTAGCTAGAAGCCGTATGTTCCATTGGGAACGTGAAGGAAAAAATAAAAATAATAAATATAGTAACGTTAGTCTGGAATGATTTAATTAATTAAGAGTTACAAACACTGACTATTTATAGAATAATTAGACATTTAGGCTTGGAAACAAGGTTTAGCTAGAAAGAGCATAACAAAAAATTCACGGATAATCCCTAACCAGGCATTAATGAAAACAAAACACGTAAATCAGCGAAAAGTCTCTTTTCGGCGGCGGTGAATTCATTTTCTTAGCTGTACAATCCCAAATATATGTGTTGTTTTATATGCATGTGCACATTAAGTTTATCAAACGAAAATACAATTGGTTATGGTTATTTTAACTAAACAGGTGAAGGTTGGTAATACAAGTCAAGAAAATTAAGTGCTAATGAAACTAGGGTAGTAATAAAGGTGATGAGTTGTCACAAACAGTTGTTAAAAAGGAAGTTATGTAATAATAATATGAATAGTTTGATGAGTGAGTTTTACTCAGGATACACATAGAAACAAAGTAGATAATACGAAATTTTGTAAGAGATCTAAGTGAATACAAGAATTATAAGCAATTAAAGAACAGGCAAAGAAACAAAATTAAGTCATCAAAATAAAAACAAAAAAAAACTCAAAACAAATCAAAACATTGTTACCATAACAGTAGAATTGGTGGAGTAATCTTCTTTTGTATGCACAGCTCCGGTTTTTCTATGTGAATGGCCGCTAGAGCTTCGGCGATACAAAGAAGACGAAACCATATTGCCTTTGATAGGTTATTCTTGACTTTGTAGATTACATTGAAGCAGGAGGCGTTAGTTGAGATGGAATGATCAGTGTTAACCAGGTGTTCAACTATCGCACTCCTTATTGCACCCCTATCGCCTTTTCACAACCATACTGGATAGTGTTCTTGAATCCCCTTGGACAGGATGGGCGTCGAACGACCGATGTACCTGGCTCCATAGCAGCAGGCTTACTGATATATGCACATAGAAGTGGTCAGATGCGGGATCTTGCCCTTGAGGCTTCTGCAGATCAGTGGGCGACTTACTGGAGAACACTATTCTTTATTTTTATTTTGATGACTTAATTTTGTTTCTTTGCCTGTTCTTTAATTGCTTATAATTCTTGTATTCACTTAGATCTCTTACAAAATTTCTTATTATCTACTTTGTTTCTATGTGTATCCTGAGTAAAACTCACTCATCAAACTATTCATATTATTATTACATAACTTCCTTTTTAACAACTGTTTGTGACAACTCATCACCTTTATTACT